AAGGGGAAGGGGATAAGGGGAGTGACAGGACAAGGGGAAATGCTGAGGGACTGGGGGAAGGGAAACAAGGAGTGACAGGGGAAAGGGGAAATGGGGAGTGACAGGGACAAGGGGAATTGGGCTGGCATTGGAAGGGAACATGGGGAAGGTCAGAGAAGAGGGGAAATGGGGAGGGACAGGGGTAAGGGGATAAGGGGAGTGACAAGACAAGGGGAAATAATGGGGGACCGGGGGAAGGGGAAACACGGAGTGGCGGGGAAATGGGGATATGGGGAGTGACAGGGACAAGGGGACTTGGGCTGGTATTGGAAGGGAAAATGGGGAAGGTCAGAGAAAAGGGGAAATGGGGAGGGACTGGGGGAAGGGGAAATGGGGAAGGGACAGAGGGAAGGGGAAATGGGGAAGGGACAGAGGGAATGGGAAATGGGGAAGGGACAGAGGGAAGGGGAAATGGGGAGTGACAGGGGCAAGGGGAATTGAATTTGCAGAGGAAGGGGAAATGGGGAGGTCAGAGAAAAGGGGAAATGGGGAGGCTGGGCCAGGCCGGGCTGCTCATGTCCCATCGCACGAGTGGCCTGGGGCAGACACATTGGGCATACGGGGAATGGCTGGGAAAAAGGGCAAGCGAGGGTGTGTGGGACGGCGACCTTGCATGAGCCCCGATGCCGATCAACCCCTCTTTCAAGCCTCGAAAGGGTGTGACGAGGATGGGTGACGTGGGAAGGTTGTGAAGAGGAGCGTGATGGGTGTGACGGTATGAGCAAGGTAGGTGGGGGCGCACAGGTGAACACCAGGCACACACCAGGTACACACCTGAGCGGGGACACTCACACCAGCACACACTTGCGGCGTTGGGCAAATCAACCCGTCGGGGGTCTTGAACCCTAAGCCAGGGGGCGCGAATGCAGGACTGGAAATGGGGAAACGGGGGGGGACATAGGGAAGGGGTATTGCAGAGGGATTGGAGAAAAGAGGAATTAGGGAGGGATAGAGGGATGGGAGTGCAGTGCCCTGCTCTCCAAACAAATTAGAGCAGACGAGGCGCTGTGACTTGCACTCCGGTTGAAAAAGAGCAGGCGCGGCATTGTGCCTTGCGCACCACGTGAAAACGAGCAGGGGCAGCGCTGCGCCTTGCTCCTCGTCTGAAAACGAGCAGGCGCGTCGCTGTGCCTTGTATCATGTGTGAAAACGAGCATAAATGGGAATGTGCCTTGCATTTTGTGTGAAAACGAGCATGCGCGGGACTGCGCCTTGCATTTCGTGTGGAAACGAGCATGCGCGGGACTGTGCCTTGCGTTCCGTGGGAAAACGAGCATGCGCGGGACTGTGCCTTGCATTCCGTGTGGAAACGAGCATGCGCGGGGCTATGCCTTGCATTCCGCGTAACAACGAGCAGGCGCGTTGCTGTGACTTGAATTCCGTGTGAAAACGAGCAGGCACGGCGCTGGGCCTTGCATTCCGTGTGAAAACGAGCAGGCACGGCGCTGGGCCTTGCATTCCGTGTGAAAACGAGCAGGCACGGCGCTGGGCCTTGCATTCCGTGTGAAAACGAGCAGGCACGGCGCTGGGCCTTGCATTCCGTGTGAAAACGAGCAGGCACGGCGCTGGGCCTTGCATTCCGTGTGAAAACGAGCAGGCACGGCGCTGGGCCTTGCATTCCGTGTGAAAACGAGCAGGCACGGCGCTGGGCCTTGCATTCCGTGTGAAAACGAGCAGGCACGGCGCTGGGCCTTGCATTCCGTGTGAAAACGAGCAGGCACGGCGCTGGGCCTTGCATTCCGTGTGAAAACGAGCAGGCACGGCGCTGGGCCTTGCATTCCGTGTGAAAACGAGCAGGCACGGCGCTGGGCCTTGCATTCCGTGTGAAAACGAGCAGGCACGGCGCTGGGCCTTGCATTCCGTGTGAAAACGAGCAGGCACGGCGCTGGGCCTTGCATTCCGTGTGACGCCAAGCAGGCGTGGCGCTCTTCCCTACTTGTTTCCGTGTGGAAACAAGCTGACGCGGCGCTGTGCATCAGGCATTCCGTGCCTAAACGAGAAGTGCGGCGCTATGCCTTGCATTCCGCGCGGATCTAGTAGGCAAGGTTCGAGGCGTTGCAATCCGTTCGAAATCTGAATAATAGGTGCAGCGTTGAGCCTATGCAATGTCGAACACAAGCGCGCTTCGACGCTTCGCGCCGCCTTGTGTTCGACTGTGACGGGGGGTCGCGACGTTGCTTCTAATCTGTTAGAAAACGAGTAGGGGCGCCTTGCAGTTTGTTCTACTGCATTGCGCAGCATATCACGAGGCCGCATGCGTCACGGTCGCATGCGTGATGTAATGGCTTGCTCCCATACGCCTCACGCCGGTTCCGAATCGCACCTGATGAGTATACATTCGAGATATTCGTCCTCGTTGAACGTAGTGTCACGTGTTCACATGATATGCGAAACGCATTGAGTCCGTCACACCTGAAACGATGGGGTCCCTGTTTGCTACATCTATCTATGCTACCCGCTACCTTGTCCCTGATATCTCCTTCGATGTTGGTAAGAATAATCACTGCATTCGCTCTGTTCTGGCTGATACTGACGGCGCCAGCACTGAGAAGGCACACGATTGACAGCTATGACCGAAACAGAAAAACAACGCTACTCGCGCGGCCCCTTTCACGCGTTACTAAGCCGTGGTGGGTTACTCTCCCTTTGCTCTGGAGTCTCTAGTGCCGTATGACGTGAAAATAGTATGGCAAGCCAGAGTGCAACCCAGGTCCACTTTGAAGCTCAAATTGGGCCCAGTGGACCCAGTCTTGCGCACTTCTGTTTTTGCACCTGGTTTTGTGGCTCTGTTCCCAGCGCGTCAGTTCATTTCGTGTACTCCTCTCCCAGCAGAGCATGACATTCGATTTCGATCCCCTGTCGCACAGGATAACCCACGCGGTGCCTTCGTTTGCTTGCGAGCAGACCCACCAATGCCATTGTTCGCATTCGACCCAGGACATTGTTGTCCAATCGCCTGTTTTTGTTTCAGCCTGTACCTTGGAATGACACGGGTCAAATGAACAGTGAGCCCCATCTTGTCGAGCCCAGAGCACCCTCTCTAAACAGTGCCAGAGTTTCAAACTGGGCCAAGGGTGACTATTTTGCCTGCTCGCTTTAAATATATGAACGTGAGATCTTGTTTCTACCTTTCAACAGTTCAAGTTTCCCTCTCATTGCAACCACGAACAATTGGTTCTTTGATTCAAAAAGTGCCCTAAATGAAAATCTAAGAACGCAAGTTCATGTGCACTTAAAGCGAGCAGGCAAAATAGTCACCCTTGGCCCAGTTTGAAACTCTGGCACTGTTTAGAGAGGGTGCTCTGGGCTCGACAAGATGGGGCTCACTGTTCATTTGACCCGTGTCATTCCAAGGTACAGGCTGAAACAAAAACAGGCGATTGGACAACAATGTCCTGGGTCGAATGCGAACAATGGCATTGGTGGGTCTGCTCGCAAGCAAACGAAGGCACCGCGTGGGTTATCCTGTGCGACAGGGGATCGAAATCGAATGTCATGCTCTGCTGGGAGAGGAGTACACGAAATGAACTGACGCGCTGGGAACAGAGCCACAAAACCAGGTGCAAAAACAGAAGTGCGCAAGACTGGGTCCACTGGGCCCAATTTGAGCTTCAAAGTGGACCTGGGTTGCACTCTGGCTTGCCATACTATTTTCACGTCATACGGCACTAGAGACTCCAGAGCGAAGGGAGAGTAACCTACCACGGCTTAGTAACGCGTGAAAGGGGCCGCGCGCGTAGCGTTGTTTTTCTGTTTCGGTCATAGCTGTCAATCGTGTGCCTTCTCAGTGCTGGCGCCGTCAGTATCAGCCAGAACAGAGCGAATGCAGTGATTATTCTTACCAACATCGAAGGAGATATCAGAGACAAGGTAGCGGGTAGCATAGATAGATGTAGCAAACAGGGACCCCATCGTTTCAGGTGTGACGGACTCAATGCGTTTCGCATATCATGTGAACACGTGACACTACGTTCAACGAGGACGAATATCTCGAATGTATACTCATCAGGTGCGATTCGGAACCGGCGTGAGGCGTATGGGAGCAAGCCATTACATCACGCATGCGACCGTGACGCATGCGGCCTCGTGATATGCTGCGCAATGCAGTAGAACAAACTGCAAGGCGCCCCTACTCGTTTTCTAACAGATTAGAAGCAACGTCGCGACCCCCCGTCACAGTCGAACACAAGGCGGCGCGAAGCGTCGAAGCGCGCTTGTGTTCGACATTGCATAGGCTCAACGCTGCACCTATTATTCAGATTTCGAACGGATTGCAACGCCTCGAACCTTGCCTAGTAGATCCGCGCGGAATGCAAGGCATAGCGCCGCGCTTCTCGTTTAGGCACGGAATGCCTGATGCACAGCGCCGCGTCAGCTTGTTTCTCACGTGGCTTCTGTTGAATATGTTTCAATTGGGGTGTTTCTGTCGCGGGTTGCTGGTGCTGCAGGAGTGTTCATTCTGCCTTGACGGTCCAATCAGAAGATGCAAATCCTACACATGATTGGGTGAGGAGAAGGTTTGATCGCTAATGCATTCACAATGCTGTCGCCAACCACACATGCGATCAACTGGACCCTGATTTTTTTTTTTGCTCCCCTCCCGTGGGGTACATGCCTCCTTTCTTTTGGCGCGTAAATTCTGGCCATCCACCCGCACTCCTTCCCGCCACTTCACTCATTTCAACCTGGACCCAACTAGAAAACGGGGTCACTATTTTGCCTGCTCGCTTTAAAGAAAGACTCTAATGAAATGAATATATGAATTTCTTTTTACGATCCCTGCCCTTCCTCTCCTCTCCATATTCTGCCTCCTGCCGCCGCTGCTATGCGGAATCGCGCGCGGAGCGGCAGGCGAAATCGGGCGCACGGCTTCACCAGGCAGATTGGCGCGCGCAGCAGATGATGGAATGGCGGAATGGAGCTCGCAGCAGCAGCGCTCGATTCCGCCTCGTCACTCCCTCATGCTCCCCCCGATCTTTTCCGCTACCCACCTATTCACTGCCGCGTCCTTCCCCGCCCCTCGGCAGGGATCCGCCAAGCGCGAGTGGCAACGAGCGCAGGCTGGCGGAATGGCGGGCCGCGGTAGCAGCTGGCGGAATGGCGCGCACAGCAGGTACAGCTGGCGGTCATTGGTTTCGCACGCTAACCTTGATTAACGGCTCGCTTCCGCGCTGCTGGCGGTAGAGCGGCTCGCTTCCGCGCTGCAGGCGGAAGAAGGACGCGTTTCCGCACTGCAGGCGGAAGAAGGGCGCGTTTCCGCGCTGCAGGTGGAAGAAGGGCGCGTTTACGCGCTGCAGGCGGAAGAAGGGCGCGTTTCCGCGCTCCAGGCGGAAGGGCGCGTTTCCGCGCTGCAGGCGGAAGAGCGGAGCGATTCCGCGCTCGTCCGTTCTCCTCTCCTTTCCCCTCGTCCCTTCCTCTTGTCCCTTCCCCTCGTCCCTTCCCCTCGTCCCTTCCCCTCATCCCTTCCCCTCGTCCCTTCCCCTCGTCCCTTCCTCTCGTCCCTTCCTCTCGTCCCTTCCCCTTGTCCCTTCCCCTCGTCCCTTCCCCTCGTCCCTTCCTCTCGTCCCTTCCCCTCGTCCCTTCACCCTCACATCGCAAAAAAGCATGCTTCGTTTTCGGCTGTTTAGGGTGATCGGGGCTTTGTTTATGTGTGTGCATCGCTGTTTGCCAAGTGCCCCGTAAATGGATTGGGCGTTCAGCCGATTGTATGTCTAAAACCGAGCACCATGTAGAGCTCTGTAAACGACCGATGTGAGGTACCACTGTAGCACTTACGTAACTGACGCGAATGGGTGGATATCGCCACGTACAGCAGTTTGTGTCCGTAATCTGTGTGCCTGGTAAACCAGGGTGGGTGAGTTGGCGATCAACCAGGACCCAAGTTTCAGTCCGTAAATGGCCATTCCACGCGGTGCACAGTCATTGACGACCTTACGGTAGGGTGAAGAGTCGGGTCGCCGAAATCGCAGTAACCCGAGTTGTAACCGTAACCTCTCGCTTCGAACACCGGGTTACCCAGCGTAACTTCAAGAACAAATACTGCTTACAGACCAATTGAAATAAATAAAAAGTCGAAGCTCGCATGGCCTGGATTTCAAAAGCCCTAATTTGATTTTCCTGGAAAGTGCTGGATTATGGAAATTTGTTCTGTATTGACGCCCCTCTGACATAAGCTGCTGATACTTCAATTTTGGAATGATTGGATATCTTTCTTATATTAAAGCAAATTACAAGGGGATATTGTTCTGCACCAAAGCCTAGCACGAAAATTGATACTGCTAGTGGCCACAAGCGTACTAGGCTCATCCTACTATGCCAATCCTACCTACATACCATTCGATAATGCGAACAGCACAACTCCCTGTACCATTCCAGAAAGCCAACATGATTGTACATACAAGAGACATGTAAAATACTATTGCGATTAAGTGCAAGCAATTGACTGACGCAAGGGCATGCCGTATGCAGGGCCACAGATGGTGGTTGGAGTTAACATGTTAACAGCTACCGCAAATGGTAACGATGTTAAACAATAAAATTTAAAAGCAAACATATACTCCTAACTCACCCAACAATGCCATCCAGCACCCCCAGTGAATCCAAATCTATCGGATAGCAGCGTACGCGGTCGTGAAATGAACCTGGCACAAAACGGCACGGAGATGGTAAGTTAACATACGCTGATATTAACCTCTACGACCTACTGAAAAAGTTTTGAAGAAAAACGAACGGTGGGGCCAAGGCTCAGGTTATCAGTATTATTTTCCCCTTCTATACTGATTACAAGGGTGAAATTTTGGGTCTACACTGATGTGCTGGGGTAATTTTTTGGAGAATTGGTGTTACACTGATCTGTAAGTGTATCGACATAGGCCACACTGATGCCTCGGGGTAAATTTTCCCTTAGTGAAGATTACACTGAAAAGTGTACAGGGACCCCCCCTTTCTCCCCCCCCCCCCCCCCCCCCCCCCCTCCCCAACCTTTTCCCCGAAATTTGTCAGATCATGGTTCCCTCACGCAAGTACCGTACCGAGGATTTCTTCTGTGTAGTACGTGCGTTGGCCGCAGTCACGTGTTTGATTGGTCTGTTAGGATTGATTACCTTGCTAGCACGCCACGAAACCGAACACTACAGTAACTACAGAAACTGTCGGTGCGTGGAAATGCTATCCGCGTCACCCACCGAGGCGGCCATGGTGGTTCTGTCTGGATGCATTGCCGTGTTGGTTCAGCAAGCACAGCAAGCAGTTTCGCCACACACCGCCATCCATTCCTCCACCCCCCCAAATTTCTAGTTATTTGTGTTCGAGAAAAAGCCACACTGATGATGTAGGGTAAAATTTTCAAAACCTGATGTTACACTGCTCTATCAGTGTAATGGAAAAGTACACACTGCCCATAAGGGTTTTTTAAAAGGCTACACTGCCAATCGTGAGTAGGCCAAATCCAAACCTGAGCCCTGGGTGGGGCGCAACAAGGACGAATCTGCTCACCTGACGACGTCTATCTGGAAGATTGCTTCAAACGTAATAGTTTCGTGTCTGGTAGAAAGAGCGTGGAAAAAACACTTTGGGAGGTAGACGTTTTGCTGCTGAGGCAAAGGTCGATTCAGCCTGGTGTATGTTGGACGAGAAAGAAATGAACATGGAAGGAGTTGGTAGAGAAGGGGTGAAGTTGACGTGCTTAAAAGCTGCTGTGTGGGGAGAGGATAAGGCCTTGTAAGCTGATGACGATTGGTTGGGAATTGGTGGTGTAGAAGCTTAAGGTGGTCAACAGTGATTGGATGCACTAGCAGCACTGTCAATGCTGTACACGTTGTCAGAATGTTATGTTTGTCTAGCCTGCAGTGGGGTACTCTATAGCAAGTACAGCCCATTAGGGTTTCCTATTTGTATCCTGCTGCTGCTAGTCCAAAGCCCCCTTCCTTCTTCAATTCTCTTTCAGAAACCCTAACCCCTAGCAACTGGCCTCTAAGCCTATGGCTCCTAAGCCTACTGCTCTCTGACTGCTTAGTATCTTAACATGGTCTTCAGAGCAGGCACCTTCCTGCTGCCTTCCTTAACGGGCCCACCAGTCTGCTTCCGCGAGCGCCAGGGGCGGGTCCACGGCGGCTCAGGGCACCGTCGCGGGCGCCAGGGGCGGGTCCGCGGCGGGCAGAAAAAACGTCACGCGCCACCCGGGCGCGGGACTGGACGAAAATCGCCACGCGCCTGAGGCGCGCGACCAGAAAAACAGCAGCGGAAGCGAGAGGCTGGCCCACAGGCCAGGACTTAACAGGCTCTGATAACATGTCAAAATAGTGGCATAAGTAGGGACTAGATTTAAGTGAGGGCCTAGGCTTAGTAGCCTAGGCCCAAGGGGATCGAGCTAGTTTGTGCCAAGGAGGGAGAGTCGAGAGATGAGAGGAGAATGAATGGTGTTCACTACAGCACGAGGGTACATATAGCAAACAAATGAAGAGGTGCACCACCTACAAAGTTAAGAACTACACTACAGCTAGAACTACATGCAGGTATAAGAATATAATTCTGACATCCCCACGAGGTCAACCACTGTTTGACTGGGTTATCATGCCGCATCATTCTCCCGACATTCTGTATGGCGACATTGTCGAACCTCTTCTTGGGGCACAACAGCCCCAACCCCCCTTCCTCCCTGGGGATGCACATCAGCTCATAATTCCAGTGGATGAAAACCTTCTCATCTATCGCCTGCCCTCCTGACACGAATCTGTGACATATCCGCTTGACCTTCGTCCATATCTCCTCCAGGGGCGGGTAGATGTACGCTTGGAACAGAAATATCGACGTGATGTAACCGTTGATGATTATGACCCTTGCCGATGTCGTCGGGTGTTGAATTTCCCATTTCGCTAACTCCTTCCGTGCCTTGTCAAGCGCCTTCTCCTAGGATGGCAGCGGGTCACCGTTTGGCGTTATCCATACCCCCAAAAGCCACTCCGGCTCCCCCTTATCAGCCCACTTGTATTGCAGGTCTGGCAGTGGCGGCTTCCCCCTGTTTTTCCCCAGTGGAAGCAACACCGTCTTGTCGAGGTTGACCTTCAGGCCTGACTTCTTGCCAAAATCGTCCAAGACCCCTGCCGCTACCGACACCTGCTCCGCACCCCCCAAAAGCAGCGACGAATCGTCTGCATATCCCAGGTATGTTAACTTCTCCATGTCCCTTCGGCCGATGCCCAGTTTGCATCTTGACAGCTCTTGACATAGCGGCTCCACCGCACAGAGGAAGAGGTATGGAGCAAAGGGACATCCTTGCCGCACCCCCTTTTTAACTGCAACTGTTTCCCCGGTCCAGCCGTTCAAGTGTACCCTTGTGCCTGTCTCTTTGTGCAGCCCTTCTGCCCAAGATACAAACACCTCCGGAATACCCATTCTCCTCAGCGTGCGGAAAAGGAAGGGCCTTGATATGGAGTCGAAGGCTTTACGAAAATTCACCATCAGCAGATACCAGTCTTCCCTGCCGCTGGCCCCTGCTTTGATGGCATCTGCCACAACTGTAACCGCATCTGCCAGCTTCCGCCCCGGTAAAAAGCCAACCTGATACTCCGAAATCACCTCGTGTAGCACATTCTTCAACCTAGACGCCAGAACCTTTGCCAGGATCTTGTAGACCGTGCTGAGCAATGTAATCGGCCGGTAGTTCCCTAAATCCTCTTTGCTCCCCTTATTGTGCAGCAGTATTGTAACCGCAGTCGAGACACTATCGGGAAGCTTCGGTGTGTGAGTGAAAGCGCCAACAAATTGCATCATCACCGGCCCCAACAGGTCCCAGTTGTGCTCAAATAGCTCTTTGGGAAGACCATCCTGTCCCCACGTCTTCCCCGGGGCTAGCTCCCGCACCGCCGTTCGCACCTCTTGCTACCACGGCGCACTAAGGGCCGCCTTACTCGCCTCGCTGATGGTACGTAACAGAGGACTCGACTCCGCGGCCCCGACATCTGCCTCATTGCCACCGCCAAAAGAGTCCTCGAAGAATTCCGTCGCCGCCGCCAAGACCTCTGTCGCCCCTGTGTAGGTATTCCCTTTTAGTTTAACCTCATGCACCTCTGTCCTCGCCTTCCGCGTTTTAATCTTCCCGGTCAGGAAACCTGATGTCGCCTCCCCATCCAGTTCCGACTTAATTCCTGCCCACGTCTGCAGGTTCTCCATGTGACATTTCTCTTACCCGTTCAGAAGCTCTTCCTTCTTAAGCAATATCTTCCCAGTGCGCTGACACCACGGCCTCCGTGACAGCCTGCTGCGGAACACCTCCACCTCTCGCTCCAGATGCGCCTGAGTTGCCTTGACCTGTTTCCTCTCTTCCCGTGAATACTCCCACAAGCAGGCCGATAGTCTCGGGAGCAGTACCGCTAGGTCACCCCCGGTGTCACGGATCACCTGCATCACCTTCTCCCTGACGCCCTTCCTTTTCGTCTGCGTCGCCCTTAATCTCCAAATCCCAGGGCCTCTTTTTCCAACCGCTGAGGTTTTGATGGCTACCATCACCGCGTTCCAGTGGTCAGTCATCTTGTTCGTTATCGCCTTGTGACGGGCGTTAACCAGCTTGCACAGCAGGGGCTGCGAGTACAAAACAAGACGAGTCGAGCGAAGTTAACAAAACATGTATTGCTGGAGACGTAATGATATAGCTGCAGCATTTCCCCATGATGTGGCGGGTGCCTGGCAGATTGAGGCGATGGATGCAGCAGCATAAGAAAATGAGAGAAGAGAAGCTATTGTGCTACTACATGTGTGGGTAGGATAGGAAACTGGTCTAAGCAGGTCCACACCTGCGGTTGTGGAAACGTGGGGAATGGAGCAATTTCATGACAGATCCACCAACGGTCAGGTAATAGACAGCTCGTGCGCACGCACGTTCGCTCCGCGCAGCGACACTGTGGAGGTAACATCACATGCTGCAAACTAAACGGGCATTAGAGGCGGAAATCCGCGAATGAGAAATGAAAGCGGGAAGCGGCCTAACGAAAGCGCTGCGCAGGGTGCAGACTAAGAGCAACCTATAGTAGCGGTTCGGCAATGTTGAGAGAACAGAACGGCGCTTCGCATCGTCGAGTGAAACTCGTGCCAGAGTGGAATGGAATGCAGGGCATAACGTGTCGCGTCACGTCCCCCTGTGTCTGTGCGACATCGCCATCATGACGGTAAGGCGACGCAGTAGGGGACGGCAGAAGCGCGTACAGCGCGGAAAAGGGTTTGGCCAAATTTCGAGTTGAAGTCCCAAGGTTGCAGGAAAGTTGCGGGAAAGTTGGAGAAAAGTATCTGAAAAACAATAACCCAAAATTGCAACTTCTCCAGTTTGCCACTAAGTCCCGCACACTGAGTCTCGCATGCGGAGGACGGACCGTATGCGTGTCGGGATGCCCAACATGTCATGCGGCCCGGGAATTTTTGCACATTCACAAATGCGGCTCGACGGAAAAGCACACTCTAGCATCGCATACAGACTACACCCGATACAATGTTGCGTGCTATTTTTCTACAGTGCGGCACAGATGAACCACCAACACAGCGAGCTCTAACCGAAAGTGTGCGTTTCAGTCCGATAAAGCAACACACATGTCGTACACACGTAGGGTCGTCTTCAATATCAACTAAAATACATTCACATTACTTGATGTCGGATACAAAATAGGCAAACCAGACACATACACGGTAGTCGAAACATGAGAGGATACCCAGTCCCAGTGCACCCTAATCACACCCCAGCATAGACTTGCATAACCTAGACCCACACGATCATCCTATACCAAGCGGACGACGCTCTCCTTGTCATCCTCCACGGGGAACAAAACCCCCGCCTTCAGGGCTTGGCCTTCCCCGTCCGAGGCGTTTGACGTGATCCCCTCATCACTTGTACTGCCGGCCCGGGTGCGCTTAGTAGGCGTGCGGCGAAGGCGGCTCACCACCTCCTCATTCACTACTCCGGCCTCCTCTGGCACGTCACGCGGCTGAATACCCAAGGCCTCCGCATGTTTCACGAAGCCGCCGTGAACCATGCGGCTCACGCGGCGACAGCTGCGGTTGTCCCACATGAGCGGGCCCTTCGGGATGCAGAAGTATGCCGACTTCTCATCCTCAGACTCATCCTCCTCGTCCCACGCAGGCGCCCACTTCTCAATGAGGTCTTTGTCGCACCCCACAAAATCCCACGCCGTCATGAACGCCCTGCTGCTGCACTTGCTCTTGAACTCTTCAATCACCAGCTGCAAACTCGTCAACTCAAGCACCAGACCGTCAAACACCCCAGCCGCAGCTTTCCCTTTCAGGCAGTCCATACGCGACAGCCAGCCCCTCAGAACGCTACCGGCCCGCCACCAGCTCCTTTGGATTGTCCCCGGCATCGTCAACTTGCCCGCCATGAACAGCTTGAACAGGACATCGTGCAGCGGCGGACGCGGAAAGACGCCTGCACGGGTCCACTCCGGGCTCGTGACCGCCGCTCGCATGAACCACGCCCGGAACACTGCTTTCAATGTGTCCACAACCCATTCAGGGCGGCCGAGAATGCTGCAGCCGGCATCACGCCAAACGTCTGCACAACTTTCACGCGTGTCAACTCCTCCACGACAAACCCCTCCACTATGCTGATCTGCTTCACACATCCGGTAAGGCTGCGCGTCGGGTTGTGGACCAGCACCACCGCCTTCTCGTTCTTCGCATGCAGTTCCCGGTTGAACTCATTGATGAACTCCATGAACAATTGCGCACACAACACGGTTGCCCCGTGCGGGACGCCATGAGTCCTGAATAATGGTCATCGAAGTAGTGAAACCTATACAGCTTGGAGCAGCCGACCCCTCCGCACCGTTGGTCCCGCTCACCTCGCCCAAAAATCCCCCATTCTTGGCGTAGCGCAATTTCACGGCATGATGCCGCGTGCGCCCCTCATGTACGGGCCTCTTGTCATCCCGTCGGAGAACGACGAGCGGCGGTTTGCGGACACATCCTGTCGCGTTGTAAAAAAGCATACGGGCATGTGCCACTCCCGCGACAGCTGCTCACGCTCGTCCTGAGACGCTCCTAACGGAACCCGTGTGGGGATCAACGGAAACTCCGTGAAGGTGAACACCTTTTCGGGCGGTGCCTTCAGCGCCTCGAGGAGGGATACCAGTGACGCCATATAGAAGAAGTATGCAGAAATGCAAGCTCTGCCACAATCCCGTCAAGTACCTAGGTTTGCACCAACCTCGACACAGTTGCTGGGTTGAGAACTAAGGCCACAACTCTGCCACATCAGCATCTCCTCGGAAAATCGTACTCAGAACGCGATCGCCCATGGAACACCCCCCAGCAGTATCCACCAATGGTACAAAACTGCGCACCAATGGTTGCGCGCCGTTCGGATTGCTGCCACTTCCCAACCGAACCCCCATCCCTGTCCGCCTCTCGTTCCTGCCGGATACCTGTACCTCGGTACACCAAACCGGATCATTGGGGGGGGTTGCAGTATCTCGCAATGCGCCGAGGCTGCGTTCGCGATACAGCATACCCTAACAAACCACGAAACTTAAATACACTCACATTTCACCTGGAAAAATGCCAGTCTTTTACATGTTACTATTACCCCGTTGCGAGTGGACCACCAACACAGCTAGGTCTGCGCAACCGAGATGCAAGCGTACTGGCATTAGGGTTGCCATCTTGGCGCACTATGTCACGGTTTCTACATCCCCCTTACGGCAGCGGTCCCATTGACACACTTTTAAGGCATGCTAGTCAAGTTAAATAGTGGCCCTCCCACAAAAATCTCACCACAACATCCACAACAAATCCCTCAGTGCCTAGGCTTCTTGGAGATGGGGTGTGCACTTGAGGCTTGCTAAGGATCATAAGGGCTGGTTGCTATGGGACTTGACCAGCCAGCAGCTGACTGTGTCAAGGGATGTGAAGTTCCTTGAGTCCCTGTACTACAAGGAGTGGAAGCAGCAGCAGCAGAAGCTTCCTACTACATGGCTGATCATTGAGGCAGATGAGGTGCAGCAGCCTTCAAGACAGGTGCAGGTTTCTGTCTCCGAGAAGGAGATCTCTGGGGTGACAGAGAATGGTAGAGATCATGAGGTGGAGGAGCTCATAAGGTGGAGGAGCAGCAGCAGCAGCAGCAGCAGGAGCAGCAGCAGCAGGAGCAGCAGCAGCAGGAGCAGCAGCAGAAGCAGCAGCAGCAGCAGCAGCAGCAGCAGCAGCAGCAGCAGCAGCAGCAGCAGCAGCAGCAGCAGCAGCAGCAGCAGCAGCAGCAGCAGCATCAAGGTGCTCCACAAGGTGACGCAAGTCCGGTTGACCGTCCTAGGAGGGATGTGCGCCCTCCTAACAGGCTGACCTATCCTAGATTTGGCAAACCCAAAGGTGGTACCGGCTGGGAGTGTGGCTGAGCAGTGTGATGAGGATGAGATAGCTACTGCTATGGGGCTGTGTTCAGACGGTTTGGAGCATAGTGTTGTGAGACAGAGGCTGCAGAGGGGTGCAGCTGATTTGGGTAAGGGGGAGATGTTTTTTATTTGCTACACCGACGCTAGCTTCAATTTTGTGAAAGCAGATGGCACCAGCATTGGAGGTTATGTGTGCCTGTTTGGAGGTGGTGCAGTGAGCTGGCGCAGCAAGAAGCAGAATGAGGTGGGGCTGTCCTCATGTGAGACAGAGTACATGGCCCTGCATCATGGGGCCAAGGAGGTGGTGTGGCTGAGGCGTTTGTTGGAGGACGACCTTTGGCACCAGCGCCTCGGACATCCCTCACGCGCGACATTGAAAAACTGCATCGATGCAGGATTTTTCGCACCTGGCGCCCTCTTGCTTCCAGACTGAGGAGAGTCACTCTACACAGGTAGTGGGCTAGACTGTGGGGCTGGCACGAACTACTAGGAGTGATCGTAGCTTTGCTTGGTTCCTTAGTGCTTGCACATTCACGAGAGAAATTCGGCAAGAGTTTCACTAGGCAAAGTTGGAATTACTCCAGTATGATTCAACAAGCAATGACAACAATGACTACATCAGGCACCTAGCAACCCTGCAGCTAGCCTGGTCGACCGCCAGCACAACTTGGTCGACCGCGCTCCAGCACATCTTGGTCGACCGCCTGCCAGCGTTGCATAGAGGAGCCGCGCCAGCACTGCAGAAGGGCGACCTGCCAACGCAGCAGGTCGACGGCGTGCCAACACTGCAGCAGTGCGGCTGTCCAGCGTTGCACCCGTAGATGATAGCAGTGCGCACGCTCGCAGGTGTGCGCAGACGATTGGTCCGGCTTGCATTGCTGTGCATCCGTCGGCTGTTGTCTGCGCCTGACGAGCCACATCGACTTCGGGATACCAGCCCGAAGTCGCCTTCACCATCACGGCCTCGACAACGTTCGCGCGCCTCCGCAGAACTCGTCAAGCAGGTTACCTGATCGACATGGACACCATCAGGTGCTCTGGTCGACCACCAGTGCCTCCGGTCGACCACCAGGTGCCTCCGGTCGACCACAGCTCCCTCTTGTCGACCACCAGGCGCCCCTAGTCGACCACAGCTCCCGTCGAGCTACCCCCTGGTCGATGGAACCCTTCCGGCGACCAGAACTGTCAGCGGTTGTCGCCGAGCTCCCCTCGTCGACCGCTGCTCACTTGTCAGATCGACAGCTGCTCCGTCGACCTCCTCGATCGAATTGTAGGTCGACCGGCAGCTTCGTCGACCTCCCGGTTGAACTGTAGTTCGACTGGCAGCTCCGTCGACCTCCCGGTCGAACTGCCCCTCCTGTTCAATGGCCCACCCGTCGCCCAGACTAGTCTGTTGTAGCTGTCGAGCTCCCTGGTCGACAGCAACACCACAGCGGTCCCCTGCAGCTCGACGAAGCCGACAGCTCTCCCACTGTGAACGGTCGGCTGCTACTCCCGTACCTCCGACCAAGTTGTCGGCGTTGCCCATGCAAGGGCAGGGCCAACACTCCATTCTTTTCCCGTTAACACAGACGGCGCCGAAGCAAGAAACGCAACACATCCGCACAATTGCACCGTCTGCCCCGAAGCTGCGCTGAGTCATTAGCCGTTCCCACTGCTCGAACCAGGAACCAATCGCTACCCCAAGCTTTACAAGGTGTACATTGACTTTCTCAACGTGGGGCATTGCGGCATTAACGATGAGCTGTACACGCTCACCTTCGTCGATGCTAGGACGCGCTACGTGTGGGTCGTAAACGTGGAAGTACGCAGCAGAGCACACGAAGTGTTCCATCTCTGGCTGGCACACCCGTAGCGGTAATCTGGGGAGAAGGTGAAAATTTGGCAATCGGACGGCGCAGCAGAGTTCACAAGCAAGGGATTACAAGATTACTTGGTGCAAAAGGGGATCAAACACCACATCTCCCTTCCTTACGCGCATCAGCAGCAAGGCGTAGCGGAGCTAATGAAGCAGTCAAAGCTTCCTCCGTTCTACTGGACCTACGCGATGCACCATGCCGTGCGGGTGCACAAGCTGCTGTCAACCACCGCCATCACCGGCAACCTGTCACCACATCTGAAATGGACGGAAACGAAGGGGGACACATTGATGCTCCGCGTGTGGGGATGCATGGTGCAGTACCGCCCGCCAACGTCAACTATCGGGAATTTCACAAGCCGCATGCGCTGGGGAATTCACCTCGGCATCAGCCACGAGCACAAGGCATGGATCATCCTAGACCTGCTCAGCCAAAAGACCACCCAAGCGTGTGACGTCATCTTGTACGAGCGGCTCTTCCTTGAGCAGTTTCACGATGACGAGCGAACGAACGCAAACCATGTCTACGCACATTATGGGCACAACTACGCAACACCTGAGGACGAAGCCGCTGCAGCAATTCTGAAGCAGAACACCAGAGGTCAGTTTGCGAGAGGCGATCACCATAGCAGCGACGATGACGACGACGATCCCCCTTGAGGAGGAATCGGCGGAGCAGGAGGAAGCGGCAGAGGCGCAACACTACCAGCGCTACCTGAACCGGAGAGTGATGATGACGACGTGCAGTCATCCCACAGCACCGCCACGACAGCACCGTTTCTGGGCTGCAACTCCTTGGACTTCACACTGCTACCTCAACGGCGCCACGTATCATCGAGCCGAAGAATTAGTGCCAAGCTCTCACGGGACCACACAGCAAGGAGTGGCGAGAGGCAACGGACGCCGAGATCAAGGCGCTCGAGTCCCGCGACACCTAGGTACTCGTCGACCGCGTCGCAATCAAGGGAGCAAGGATTCTCTCTGGAAAATGGGTCTTCCGCGTAAAGACCGCAGCGGACGGCATGATCGAACAGTTTAAAGCGCACTGGGTCGTGCGTGTTAAACAGGCTAGGCGAAAACGAGAAACAGGCAATAAGGGGTTTCACTAACAAGCATAGGGATACATATAGCAAACCCTAGAAGGGCTGTACTCGCTATAGAGTACCCCACTGCAGGCTAGACAACCATCACATTCTGACACACCCCCATAGTCAAAGTGGGGTACAATCAACACAACAAGCAGGCAGACACACGGGCAGCAGGAGTGCGCAGCACTGTCGCTACCAGGCTAAACCCGGACTACACGGCGACAGACGCAGCTGGCTCACTGTGCTCCCAGGAGTGCTCACACTGTAGCTACCGGGCGCAGAGCCCCAGACTACTCAGGCCACAGGGGGTCGTGGCTCTCTGGACTACCAGGAGTGCTCACACTGTGGCTACCGGGCGCAGAGCCCCGGACTACTCAGGCCACAGGGGGTCGTGGCTCCCTGGACTTCAGGCGCTGCGGACGACAAGTCGGCTACCTCCGGTCAACCTCCCCCAACTGTCCCACACCCCGTTCACACACTCCCTGTTGAACCACTAGCACCGCTCACACGCCACCCCCCTCGTACCACTCCGACGGCTCCAACACATCCACCCCCCTCAGCGGCAGCTGCAGCAGTGGGAGACGGAGGAGGAGGAGGAGCAGGGGATGGCGCACACACACGGCACCCCCATACTCTCCACCCCCAAACCCTAACACAGGAACGCGGGCAGCAGCAGGGGTGGGGCGCCGTCAAAAGCTCGGGGGACGGCATGCGGCACAGGGGCAGGCTGCCCGGGCCGCGCACGGGCCTGGCGCAGGCCGGACGAACCGCGCGCGGGCTGCCTGGGCCGCGCGGGCCTGGCGCAGCCCGCACGGACCGCGCGCGGGCCTGGCGCAGGCCGTACGGGCCGCGCGCGGGCTGTACGGGCCGCGCGCGGGCCTGGCGCAGCCCGTACGGGCCGCGCGCGGGCCTGGCGCAGGTCGCGCGGGCCGCGTCGGGCGACGGGGGGCGACGCGCGGGTCGCGGGGCGACGCGACGGGCTCCGGCGGGGGGCGACGCGACCGTCGACGGGGGAGAAAACCGCCGCGCTTGGGGCGCGCGGCGGGAAGAAAAATCGCCGCGCGCCCGGAGCGCGCGGCAGACAGGAAACAGCAGGAAACAGCAGCGGAAGCTTCTGGTGGGACCACCCACAGGATCGACCCAGGAGGGTCAACCTGCTCTGATAGCATGTTAAACAGGCTAGGCGAAAACGAGAAACAGGCAAGAAGGGGTTTCACTAACAAGCATAGGGATACATATAGCAAACCCTAGAAGGGCTGTACTCGCTATAGAGTACCCCACTGCATGCTAGACAACCATCACATTCTGACAGTGCGCGGTTATGACCAAAGGCATGGGATTGACTTCGACCAAACCTTCGCGCCGGTTAGTCGTCACACCTCCGTGAGAATCCTGCTCGCCATCGCAGCCGCAAGGCACCTGCCGCTGCGCCAAATTGACGTGAAGAACGCGCTCCTGTGCGCGTTAGTAGATGCTGTAATCTATGTGGAGCAGCCACATACGTATGGTGAATGAGATTCGCGCGTGTGTCAGCTACGAAAATCCCTTTACGGGATCAAGCAGGCGCCAAGGCTCTGGCAGCAGTACCTACACAACATCCTGCTTGAAATCGGATTCAAGCAGCTACCACACGATCCTGGGATGTACCGCTGCGATTTCCGCGGGGACTACATTCTGCTCACCGTCTACGTCGGCCATTTGCTCTACATAGGCTCGAGCAACGAGCTACTCGAGAAGCTTGAAATAAATTTGGCGGGGCGCGTCGACATTACTTGCAATTATGACGTGAAGCAGTTCTTAGGACTCAACATCTCCTACGCGCCAGAAGTCATTCATCTCTCAGCGGCTAAGTACGCAGAGGAGCTGGGCAAGCGCTTCAACATTGCACCTGCACCGCTCTCCACTCCTTACCGCACTCCCGGACCGAACCACAAACCCGACAACAAAGCTCTATCTGCTGGAGTCCAGATTTACCAGCAGCAGGTGGGATGCCTGCTCTTCGCCTCAATGACATGCAGGCCTGATCTTTCCTATATCGCGAGCCAACTGGCTCAATTCTCCCGCAAACCGACGGCTGGGAATCTTCTGGATCTGCAGCACACTCTACAGTTCTTCATTTCCACGCCCAAGATTGGGCTCTGCTACTCAACAATGCCAACTCCATCCTTCAGCATTATCGGCTACGTGGACGCCGATCACGCAGCAGACCCCGACAATCGACGGTCCAGGACTGGGTTCCTGTTTCGCCTCGAGCCAACAGACAGGACCAAGTTCTTGGAATTCTCAGAAACACGAGCTGGTTGCTGTGTCGTCAGCGGAAGCTGAATTGATCGCAGCAACAACAACAGTTCGCGAAGGCCTCTATCTGTAGGAACTTCTGCAGGAGGCGAAAATTCCAATTTTGCCTACCTTTCGTCTGCATTGCGACAACCAGAGCGGAATCCGCATCGCAAACAAGCCTGGATTTGTCAATCGCACCAAGCACATTGCGCTGCGGTATTTCTTCGTCAAAGACGAAATAGACAAGGGGAAGGTGGATCTGACTTACTGCCCAACAGGTGACATGGCAGCTGACTTCCTGACGAAGCGACTGCCACCACGTCAGCAATACCAACACTGCTCCGAACTCAGCGGAGTAGTCCAGCAGGCCAGATCGAGCTACGGCCAGGAGTGAAGGGGGGTGTTACGAATAGTAAAAAGAGATTGCTCACTCCTAACCGCAGCATGTGAAGAACACAGTATCGAGAGTGAATGTGAAGAGGCAGAATGACGCGAAGTGTCGCGTACGGTTGCGCAAGATCTGGACCGTCAGAAGCAGACAGCATCGAGCAGCTGCAGGAGCGAGGAATTGGCGGGAACAGTTTTCGTAACTGTACGCGCCGCACGGTTGGGTTTGCACTTGAGTAAGGAAATGTACCCCTCAAAGTACATGGCTAGCTTGGTCGCTTCGTATTCCACCTGTACTCTTATTTATATGCCCATATTTGTCTGTTTTAGTCATTTCAACATTTTACATTCACTCTGTCTGAGATCAAGGGCCCACCATCACCAATCCACTGCGTGCAAACCTTCCCGAGGTGATCCTAGGGTCGATCAACTTCTGATCGCAGCATGGATGATTGTGGACAACAACAAACCCATGGACAGAGGTTTGGTACCATATCCCCCAGGGTTCTTTTTAAGGGTTGTGTACACGCAGTGCTACCCTGATTGCACACGCAGGTCTTCTATATTGGCATTATTGATGTGCAGAACAAACTACTGGCTCACTCAAGGCACAAATAACGAGTGATTTTTTGCACATGCAACATCCCTTCAAACGCAATCAAATACACCTAGGCTTGGTCTTCATCCATGCTTTGGCTAGCTTCTTCGTGAGATACCTCATCGCATGTGCAAGACCTGCTGCTAGCACTCCTGCTACAGCTTGCATGGCACTGGCAATGCTCAGGGTTGGATCGCCTATGATTTCATCCATGCCTTGGCTAGCTTCTTTGAAAGATACCTCATGGCATGTGCAGGACCTGCTGCTAGCACTCCTGCTACGGCTTGCCTGGCACTGGCTGTGCGCACTCGCCTCGCCAGCTCAGCTGCCAGCTCAGCACACAGCACCTTTCTGGAGACACTCAGAGCAAGGCGGTGTGAGAGAGCTGCTGACGTGGCAACACTAGGCTGGGTCAGCGTCTGCATATTTGGTGTTTTTTCCCACAACTTGGACATGGGAGGGGCCGAGCCTTTGTGAAAGTCAGATGCGAGGGGGGAGCGAGGAGGAATGTTAGGTGGAGTAGGGAGGAAGCGATGTGAGAGGGAGGCGAGGATGGAGGCTGGGAATTTCTGGAGGAGGAATTGACGGCCAGAGGTTGAATATTCCTGCAAGGGAGGTGTGGGAAAGATAACATGGAGCGGGAAGGAGGTGATGTAAGGGAGGTGAGGACGGAATCTGGGATTTGCTGGATGAGGAATCAACAACAAGAGACTGAAAGGGCAGACGGGTGAAGCAAAACCAAGGAGAAAGGAGCGAAGAAGATAAGGTAGACTCGGTAGACGAGGTGAGGTGAGGTTATGTGAGGGGAGGTGAGGAGGAGGGAAGCTAGGAGGTGCTGGAGAACGAATCAACAGCAAGAAATGATTTCATCCTTTGCCCTTCAGAAAGTCTCAACCGCTTTGAGACGTCCGAAATTATCCTAAGGGACGCGACCGAACCAAGGAGTGGTTCTGACCAAACGGTCGGAAAGGGATGATCGAAGGAAGGAGATGGGGAGAGGTGGAAAAGCGGGCCATTGGCACAACACTAGAAATAGGGAGGTGAAAGGTGGTGTTACTACATAAACGCTATCTAGTGGATCGTTAACAACAGAGCATGCTCTGCAGGTGAAGGGTTAAAAAGCCAACCTGGTGCTTGCGCCCCACCTGTCCTATTGATTGAGTTCCTGTTGCGAGTGGCTCAGCAGGATCGAAAAAAAGGCAGCCCGAATCAACAAAATGCTGGAGAGAGGAGCGATAGAGCGAGCGGAAGTGATGGAAACCACCGGAGACGATTCTGCTAATCTGAAGAGAAGAATCGGGACTAGCAAAAGTGGAATGAGTTTTACAGGGCCTCAAAGGCCATCAGAGATTATTTGAAGGATTTGATGAGAGGGATCGAGTATCGTGGAAAGTGACAGGGGAATGAATTTGACGTAGGAGAGAGTGGCAGGTTGAGACAGGTTGGAAATGACACATGTGTTCAATTTGTATGTACAAGGTGTGGATGCCATGGCCCTGAACAGATGCCTTCATGAGGCAGCTTATATAGAGGCAGGAGGTTACAGGCAGCTTACAGGTGGCACATAGTAGCAGTGGCACATGGTAGTAATGACACGTCACATCCCTACCACCCATGAAACACATACCCATAATCCGCCATCCAAGACACACGCACCTTGTTGGGGTCTTCAGCTAGTGCCATGCGCACATCGCCTGCGTATGAAATGCGACAAATCGCCTCATACAGCTCATGCTGATAATGTGGTTCGCAAAAATCAAAGCGGGAGGTGAAAGGGGGGTAGGTGGACGAAGGAGGGGGAGTGGGAAAAGGGGAGACGGGAGAGGAGAAGAGAGGGAGAGAGGGTGCTATGAAAGAGGGGTGCACATAAACAGTGGAGCCTGGAGAAGTGAAATCATACCCTTTGTCATGGTGGAAACAGTAGAGCCAGCACTTATCAACAAGCAAGTAGACGGCCCGAGGTCATACCATGGAAACAAAAACTGATGACTTGTGAAGTCTAAGACAACGTTATAAATCCAGTCTGATATCTCGAATGAACAATTCTCAGTGAAACTTTGTGATGGACAAAGTGAGAAGTTGAAGCATGTGTCTGCTTTCAGGGGAAGATGAATTCCAAACTCTAAATAACTGCTCAGCGGGTGGGGGTACCTCTGTGAATGTCTGGGGGAGAAGCAGCAGCGCTGCAGCAACAGCTGCTCTGAGGTTGTCTGATTGTAGCGAGAGAATGTGATCATGAGCGATAAGAATCTCCACCTGCGGACCAAGATACCAGAACATAAGTACAACATTTATTCGATAAAGTTTCCTCATTTTCTTCTTATAAAACAGGATAGTGATGCTACGGGACCACGTGACAATACAAAATAGTGCTCTGGATGGCACTAGTGGAGAGCAAGTTGTCTCCATGCATGCTCCCTTGTGTGGATGGTGCGCATGCATGTGCACATGTGTGTGCGTGCATGTCCAGATTTTTAGTTGCTTGATGTTAGTGCATGGAATGAGTGAGAGGCGCATCTGTGTGAATCGTGAGGAAAGTGCAAGATGCAGTGGAGGAAAGAGAGTGGGGATGAATGGAAGAAGGGAGGACGGTGGAGAGAGACGGAATGCAAGGACAAGACAAGTGAGAAACCAGGACAGGGGGATCGGGCCCTTAAGCAGTGAGGGAATCGTATGGGGACAAGGGAGTGCAACGGGGTGTTGCAAGGAGGAAAGCGAGGGTGCAAGAGGGAAAGGGAGGGTGTGGGGGAAAGAGAGGGTGTGTATGAGGTGGACGAGGGAAAACGGGGTGGTTTAGGTGGGGAGAGCCAAGGCAGGAAATCGCACAGAAAGGCAGCAGTACAGGCTTGTGAAGGCGACCACTGATGTAGAGGTGCTGCCACGTGGCGAGATCTGACTGCAGAGCCCTTGTGGCAATCACCCCGTACTTGACCTGCCAATGCAGATACAAACGTGCAGCAAGAACAAGTATTGAGGCGCCTTAAAAGTCGTACTTTACCTGCAACGGGGATACAAGAAAGATTAAGAAACGCAACAACGTGACATTTGCTAATTGAATCAGCATTTTGGATCAAATGCAGGCTACATTATCCGACTGGCTCAGGAGTTTTAGGGTTGGTTACCACCATGGAGAGAGATTTAATGAAGCGCAGCACGGGTTCCGTTGAACCAGGATAAGTTGCGAGTGCGACTCTTGAGTAAATTTAAATGTCGAATCAAAGTGGAATGGGCACTAAGGCACCTGGTTGAGTGGTGAGTGCGGAACGAACGGATTGAAGTGCACTCCCACCCCCACCCTGTCTGCTGCAGCCACAATCTTACAAGGGTGAAAAGAGGAGGGACGAGAGGAACGGTTTGTGCAACGCAGCGGGAATGAGATCGGCAAAACATGGTTGATGGAAGCGGGGAATGAATGCCTTGGACAGAGGAAAACAGCACAAGGGTGAGGCGAGAATGTGAAGTGAGGAAAAGACTATGTTGGGATTCCCGATCAGAACAGAATAAATGACACCTACGTCACGTGCATACACACATGCACAAAACAACGGGGAACATGCAGATGTGGGCGTGAACATAAGTGGTGTATACGAGGAGCCTACGGCTCTTGATTAGCCAGAGGAAAAATAGACAAGGCTTACAACTTGGCTGCCAAAGGTGGCAAGGAGGGACGAGTAGCTGTGGCCGTGCATATAAGAGGTATTCAAAAAGGGGCCTGCAACTCTTGATTAGCCAGGGAAAGAGAAGAGAAGGCTTACAGCTCGGCAGCCGAATGTGGCGAAGAGGGACGAATAGTGGGCTCGGTTATGTCTCAAGTTCTAACGTGAGCATGAGATGGGTATGGGCATGGTCGTGGTAATGGTGATGCAGCAAGGACGGAAATAAGCAAAGAGGAGGGAAGAGAAATGGGACAGAAAGACGTGAAGCAGAAATATATCATTAGGGAATGAACCAGACGGAGCTTAACATTAGGGGGGAACGAGGGGGGGGGAGAAGGGGGGGGGGGGGGGGGGGGGGGGGGGGGGGCTATGCTGACGAACATGAACATGGAATCTAAAAAACCACTCAATTCACATGCTGTTCACCCGATTCCTCTATCCTCATGTGCTTAATGCACGTTGTAAGAAAGAATCAATTCAAGTTTGTTGGCACGGCAAGTCGTTCATCAGGTAGTGAGGCCGTGAGGTGGTGACCTATGATGCATGACAGAGCAACATCAAATGTGATCGACGCAGCCATGCAATGTCATCGATGCAGCCATATAATAGCATGATCCCTCGGCTTACCTCCGCATGCCAGGATAGAGGGTCATCAACGGCCAGGATGAAATCCACCATGGACGAAGATGGTGGGGAAGAGACCGATGAGCAGGACTGGGAGATGGAGGAGGATGTCAGGGAAGCGGAGGAGGTGGGTGACAGGGTTGTAGAACGTTTTTCAATACTTTGCTGGCCGGATGGATTTCCGCTGTTACCAATCTCGCATTGAAAGCTGGAGCTGCTGATGCGGCTGCTGCTCTGATCGCCGCTTCCGGAACTGCCTGAATGGTCGCTAATAGCGCTGTTCCCGCTGCTGTTCGTGCTGCTGCTACTGCTGCTGCTGGTGCCGTCACCGCCATGGCTGCTGCTAACCCGGCTATTGCAATATTGCGGGATATTTCGCGGGATTCCCTAATCGACTGGAGGCTGCTGGAAGACGCGCGAGCCATAGGCGAAGGCGAAGTCGACAGGCGGAAGGAGGTCCAGAAATCCAGTGAGCTGATCTCGCGAAAGTGATGACGGCGGCGGGTCATTCGCCGTTAACCTTTCGGACGATAAGAAACGATTGTCAGACGACATTTTATCAGGTCTGGATGCTTGGATTTACGCCAAACGGCACAGATCTTGATTCACATGCCCTGAGAACCTAAATACTCGAAAAAAAAAAAAAAAAAAAAAAAAAAAAACACGACGCTCGCGCTCACATGGCCAATTCTAGCAGATTTTAAAGTGCGCTCGTAAATCGATACCGAAGCGAGACCGCGCTTCAACCTAGTACTTCGCTGGAAATAAAGCGGCGACAAATGCGGAGAGGGATCAACAGGTGAGGAGTATTTTGGTTTGGAAGGCAAATGTGGTGGGTTGCTTTGTTTTGGAGGGTGCACCTTGGATTCATCTCAAAGTTCGTGCTGGGGAAAATGAATGAACCAGGCGCCATGTAATGTCGGGGGCAAAGTACAGGTTTTGGAAGGGAGTTTTGTTCGCAACCTGAACCTGAACTGAAACCTGTCATGAATTTGACCGTTCCTATAAGTGGCAGGTACAAGCGGAGTGAAACGCAACCGAACTGAAGGTGCTTGGAAGTTGGAACAGCTGTACGAAAAACGAATTGGCAAACGAAAGCAGACCAGTAAAACGAAACAAACCGAAGCCCAATGTGGTCGCGACACGAGGGAAGCCAAGGTATCCCCGAGAAGCTCCTCTGCATGATAAAACGAACCAGAGACTCTTCAGAAGCCCTATGATATAAATCTAGATTTCGTTCTACTATTTTGCTCTAACGCCCACGCCTCCTGCGAGAACAGTTAGTTAGCTGCTTCCACTCGCATTCGAGCAGTTGGTGCTCGCGACTTTTTCCGACATCTTGCAAGCTGCAACCATGATTGCCGGCGACTTTGTGAAGGACTTGGGGGCGTTGGTGATGGGTGAGGATAATGAGCTGTTCACACTAACCTGGAATAGAATCAGTGGTTCTTAATCCCAAACTGACTCGCAGTGACGCTTCTCCTTCCGCTCGCCATGTATGGCATGAGAGGAACATCAACGATGAAGACAAGGCTGGCAGCAGCCCTTTCAATAATTATTCTCCTTGGCCTTTTCACGATGGTGTCCATGAGTTTAATGTATGCGAGCACACACAGAATTGACTACTCCGCAGCAGGTATGGCTATGGATGTCTTTTTTGCAGTATCGCACCGTCGCAATGGATGACTGACAGTTGTTACTTTCCATCGCAGTCCACCTGGCTGCAGAACGTGATGAAGAATCAATTTGCGAAGAACGACTGGCGCCGAGCAAAGAGGGCCCTATTGTGTCCGGAAAGAATCACACCATGATCAACATTGCGGGGCCAATGACTGGTCTTGGCTGGTGGCGAGAAATCCTTCGGGCGTTCTCAAATGACGAGAGTTTAGTGTTCGGAGAGGGCGGTTCAGATTCATTGGACTGCTCGTTTGATGTGTTCCAGGTAAGTTCGCAAATTTGCTTCGGGGGTTTTCAGCATGCTCTTGTGATTTGCGTCATTTCTTAGCGTATGTTCGGATGACAGGTAGAGAAGTATGATGACGAAGATTTGATTAAACTTCCAAGGCCGTACAAAGGAACACTCATTGTACGCGATCCAAGGTCCATCATCCTTGAGCAATGGCTTCTGGGTCAACTGGAGTGCAGATCGCCTGGCCGTTTCCACGAAGGAGTTGGTTCGGCAAAATCAAAAGTCATCCAATCTCAGGTAAGCACATTGGTCATAACGTCTGGTGCTGTGGTGGAAGGGAAGTGAAGGTGCAGATCCTTGACATTATCTGCACTGTTGCCTGCAGAGGATCTGCAGACTGACTAAGGAGGCAGGCATAAACTATGTGATAGCTGCCCTAAGCGAGCAAGGTTGCAGCGGCCCCCTCCACTATGCTTGTGTTGCAACGAGCATTCCAGCTCGAGTTGCCACGACTGAAGGCTTGAAGCTGTTCAAGGTTTGTCACTTCAGTCATCATGCTGTTAAACTCTCACATGCTCTTACATCCTTGCTCTTTTGCAGTATGAGGATCTTTGGAGCGAGAGGTCTCTTAGTCTAACCAATCTGGGGCTTTGGTATGGGCTTCAGGTAAGCCTGCTCATAAATGTTTCTTACAGTCATATGATACTTCAATTGATGTTAATTGCAATGATCACAGGGGCCCCAGTTGGAACGTTTCATTAGCACTGCTAGGATCTGGACTATTGAGTACAGCTCGTTGATGCATGTCTCGGGCATGCACCAAGTGCGCAAGCAAGATTCATGGAAAGAGGTGATTGCATTTCATTATAGTTTCTGCTTGTGCATTTTTCTTGTGTAAACTGACAACCTTTGACGTTTGCAGCACTTTACTCCGCTGAATGTGAAGTTATTCGAGAACCATTTTGGCAAACTTGCCAAGAAACTTGGATATTGAGTAATGCCAACAAAACTTCACCAGGGATGGATTGTTGTGGTTTGAACTGCTGGATACACTTCTCAATTGAGGTTGGACTGAGTGTCTCACTATTCCTCAGAATCTGGTACACTACATGGATGCTTTGCTCCAACAATCAGAATACATTCCTGTTCAGACTATAATGGCATTCCTGCTACGGTAATTGCTCAATACATTTAGACTGCTGTACTATGCAATTGCAAGATCCAGCTTGATGAGTCCATGTAGTATTGTACTGTACACCTTGTTTGGGGGTGGGGGGGGGGGGGGGGGGGGGGGGGGGGATGGCGGAAAAGCAGGGGCAAGGGAATAAAATAGATGTAACCATTCATAGAAACTGGGCAGCCAAGAGCAAGACAATTGCTCAGGATTTGGGTCAGGTGGAAAAGGGGATGTGGATGGGAAACGTATAAACCTGAACAATCCCAACATGGCGAGACACCCATGAAAGAAGAATAACGGAAGCGGTAACATAGTAAACCAGGGGAGCATGTCGCATCACAGATCAACAAGGCAGAGTCAACCATGGGAGGGAGGAAACGGACGAAAAGACAGAGTTTTGTATGAGGATGTTATACGCCAAAAAGCTTCTCTCTGCATTGAAGCGTGATACTATCCCACACACAGCAGCGCCATGGAAGCTGCACTTGCGACCTGATACGTGGTTTCACACGAATCACATGAACCACGCATCCATCACCAGCAAAAATTCGTAGGGCTGCTGTGTTTGTTATCATGCCTCCCATGTGCCCTCTCACAACATTTCTTGCGAGGAGGGGTATCGTAAGAGGCAGCCAGGAGAGGTGGATGGAAGTACCACTACTGGAAACACATAGATCCAGCAATCTTTTTGTATAGGTTAAGCATGCTATACGAATAGCAGGTTGTTGCAACATGTACCACACAAAGCACGAGGAGGACAAGAAGGGTTGGAGGGACAACAAGGAGGAGATTTTAAAAGGTCTACAGGGAGCAGAATGGGTGGGGTAAGTGGTGAGGAAAAGAAAATATATACGGTAGCAAGCGATAACACAGTATCCCATGGAACAGGCTACAAAGGTGGCTGGTGGGTAGTACGACATATGCGGGATGAGGGATGGCAAATGTCAAATAAGGCGTTCCCATTGTGTGTCACACGGAGTCACGACTCAAGATGCCTCGAACATGGTTTGTGACGTGTGGCATACCAATTCATCGCAAGCAGCAGACATGCCACCTGGTGCCTTGGTCGACTTAAAAGTCTCCTGGTTCGCTCTCAGTGGGTGCAAGCCAGCACGGTGGTACCAATGTCCTGTATGTGTGCGAGAGTCGTTCTACAGGGTTTGTGAAGGAAACATGAGCGGTGCAAGGGGGAGATGGGAGGAAAAGACACACGGAAAAGAGGAGGTTGAAATCAAGAAGGGCCCAACATAGAAAACCTAGAAATGGGGGGACAAGTACGGGGGAGGGTGTGGGTGGGAAGGGAGGAAGGAGGGTGTCAAGGAGTAGGATGGGGAGGGGGAAAGATGGGAATGATTGGGACGGGGGAGAGGACGGGATATGGGGGTTGGGAGGGGGGGTGAAGAGAGGGGGAGGGGGGGGTGGGGGGGGGGGGGGGGAGGGGAGAGGTGTTGGGGGGGGGGGGGGGGGGGGGGAGTGTGGGGGACCGTGGGGGCAGGAAATTAAATGGCAGGAAAAGGGATAAATCCATAGAATAAAGAAAGTCCGCACATATGCTAGAAAATGGACTCTCAAACGATCAAAGCCATGATGAGCTGGGCCCATGCTTTACGCAACCCAGAACCAAAACCCTGAGCTAAAGCATGAGAGAAGATCTTGGCTAAACCTGCGCACCCGCAACTGCATCCTGTGCTCACACGGCCTCGGCCACGCACTTCGACATGCATGAGCGCACGAATGTCTAGCGTAACACACACGCACCTGCACGGCCCGCACATAGTATGCTCGATACAGCCAATCATCTTATTGACTCAAGGAAAAAGGTCGAAGGAATCGGAGCTTGTTGTCGCCAGTTGTTCGCTTGATAGTTCCGGAGGCTGGTGAACACGTTCAGAGCTTCTTTGAACGGTAGGCGCGCTTGATGCCATGGCCCGCGCTTCGCTGCTACTGGCCCGGGTCTTCGCTGATTCTGGTCCACGCTTCGCTGCTATTGACGGTAGCTGCTGATTCGCGGTCAGGTCGCGTGGTGGCATGACGAGAGGACGGCGGAGTACCGAGAAACAACGCAAAACAACATGAAGTGCTATAACGAGAAAGGCATTCCTCACGAGCAATCAAATGGACTTCTGAACCAGCTGTAGTAGTTACATCAGCTGTTTGCTCCATCCCAAGCTACATGTCCCAAAGCCTACCACGGCTAGAGAACCCTAGGCGTCGCATTTCGGTCAGTCGTAAGGGCGTGTTCTACGTAGCGATTATTCAGATTTGGTTTGAAGTTGCGGACTGGTGTCGACCCGAAATCGAAGTTTGCCACCAGCTAGCAAAAGTGTTGGATTGAAATGCACCCTTTCACATCGTACGAAGTTCTGAAAGCAATTGAATTGCAATTCTTTGAAAGATTATACCCGAGGTGCTGCGTTACCTTGGATTCGAGCTCCATCGATCCATTGATTCCCCACCCGCCTCTCTTAGTCCACGCTGGGTTCCAGCGTATCCGTACTTCAGCGTAGTCTGGCTTGCTGCTCTTATTCGTCAGCGTTTCCGTACGTCTTATTTGTAATTACCCACGAACTAGCTTTTTATCTTATGGAGACGCCTTCATCTGAGTGCCCAGCGTTCTGGAAACTGCTGGGTCTTTATGCTAGGTATTTGCAAAAACACGATCCTGAGCGGCTAATGCAAACTGTTCTCCCTACTCTCGACGAACGTAATTTCTTCGAAACTTGTAACGATTTGCAAGCTTTCTATGACATTGCGGAAGTTCTTATTTCAACAAATGTCGAGCTCCCAGATGCCATTCGTCAGGCGATGGCGGAGGGACTGATTGAACGGTCGTTGGATCCGTCTCTACCATCTCATGCAAACGAAAGGTTTTTTCGTCTGACAACAGCTTGTTTTCGCACTGCAAAGGAATATCTTCACAACAAATTGGAGGCAATGGTAGAATTAGTGGACAAGGCGATGTGCTCCCATCAAAGGGATCGGGGTTTCACCCTTCAAGATGGCATTTTCATGGAAGAAATGCTTCTTGCGATTCACTCCCAGCCGCACTTGGACAAGGTTTGATATTCACAGAAATTTCTCGAGGAATGTGGTGAGTGCTGTCACGTCTGACACTTGACGTCTGATTTGCAGTTCGTTTGTGAAAGGCCTTCCAATGCGTCTGAAAAAGGACGGCTTGAGGGCATTCTGGAATCATTGCTGCAGTCGCCGTCATCCCGTTTGCGTCAGCAAGCACTGAACTTGATAGGCGCTTGCTTCTTTTCTTCCTTCAACGCCTTCCTCCAGCTGCAGTCAATTCTTGACACGTCATTGGAGTTGGAGGATTTTGAAATACGACTTCACGCCTTGAAAGTCAAACTTGATGTTATCTTTCTTTACCATGACAAGTTTCCAATTCTTGAAGTCCAGCGAGCGTGCTTGTCTCACCTTTTCTCGCCATCCATGAAGATGCAAGCGGTGGCTGTGGTTGGCATTGGAAGACTGCTGCTTCATGACTGCTTTGAAGATGTAGAGCCTTTATTGTCGGAAATGTTGGAGAGATATGTATACAAGCCGCCAGAGAAGATCAGGTAAGTCTACTGCTTGTGTACTTCTCTTGATGCACCATGACTCAAGGTTGTGTTGGTGTTTTGCAGTGAGGATCAAAATGCCAAGGTCACACGAATCCTTCGCATGTTTTTCCAAGAATATTCAGCAGAGAAAAGTAAACATCAGGATGAAATCTGCAACACAGTGGTGTACAAAACCCTTGAGGAGATGAGAAAGGGCTGCCTGGTGGTTTTACCCAATGGCAAGGTGGGGCACGGTGTGAAAAATGGAGGCGCCATGCGCTATCGTGAAATCTGTTTGGCTATCAAGTTCGCTCTTTCCTTCTGTGGGGATATGACATCAGCTATAGTTGAAAGTCTAATCGTCAACATGCCAGTCTATCAAGGAAAATCCATGTCTAAGCAAGCGTTCAGCTCATGGCTAGCTGCACTTGAAGAATGAATGCCTTACTTTTTGTGCCACTGCATGCCATGTTACCCGTATGCCATAGTACCATTTCAGTCGCCAGTAATCATGCAAGCGCTTGGTACTCCCCCTGCACGAGAGTGTGCAAAATATTCTCTTTTTACTGCCTCCATGAAAAACACCACATTTTTTTCCCATGAGACTACCGGTAGTTACCATTTCCACCAACCGATGGCGCAGCACTTGAAGCCCTTAGCTGTTCTCCTACTTGAAGAAACCGTTTCCTGAACATGGCATCATTGCACGGAAGAAACTGCGATAAACACACTGCCTTCCGCTCCTTCCCAAACACAGGCACAAACTCCTTCGCACCAGCTTCAGCCTCCCCATCAACACTCTTACTCCCAAGCACCTCCTCATGCGGCTTCACCACAAACCCATTCTTCTTTAGCGCCAGATGTCGAGGCTTGATTCGTCGGTTCAAGCCAAGTGTCAGAAAAGTGGGGAATCTGAGAAGCTCAATGACTGACAGTTTCATGTTGTGCTGCAGGTAGTGCAGCTTCGGGGCAATGTTGCGCTCCCAGTTGTAGAAAAGAGCGTACGGCCAGAAAGTGACAAACTGGCACACAACGTGCCTTGCTGCTGAATCTTGAAGCAACCCGTTACTTAGCTCCTTCCCCTGCTTCCCCTGCTTTCCCTGCTCCCCCTTATTACCCTGCTTCCCCTCCCCCTCCCTTCCCTCACTTCCTTCTCCTTGCTGCTTCTCCTCCCCGAACTTCTGCTCCCCGTATGCAGTCAAGTCACCAAGATTCCACCTGAGGCCTTCGGGTAGTCTCTTCACTCCTTGAAACACAGTACACCAC